GTGTTTAATGGGGCTGAATCTATGCTAGTGCGAGCAATACTATCACTTGATGTTTTTATCACATCAAGAAGTTTGGAAACGGTTAAATAATACATGTCAACACATGAATCGTATTGCTCTTGAGCTGTAGTTTTAACTTCTTCACTTTGATCGGAAAGCATTAGATCTTTATACGACTTTTCTACTTTACTCCAGCGAGTGTCTAAATCTTTCAGTTTTAAATCTAAAAGTGCCTTAGATTGGCTTAAAATATCTTAGCTATCGCATTTTTTACAAAATGAAATTAAGTTGTTGGCATCAAATGCAAATCGTGTATTTAGAGAAGTCATTTTAATTTGTTTTTATATAAAGGGATTGAGAAGCTTTGTAGTTTTAAATTAACTTTTAGAGAAATTCTTTGTAATTGGAAAGAGATTAAAGAAGAATCCTTTGTAATTCGGATTGATAAATAGTAAAATTTGGACTAAAGTTGGGAAATCCTTTTTAATTTGGATTGAGTGAGATAAATCCTTTGTAATTTGGATTGAGTGCGATAAATCCTTTGTAATTTGGACTTAGTAAGAGCGAAATACTTTGTATTTTGGATTGATAGAGATAAATCCTTTGTAATTTGGATTTAGAGAGATAAATCCTTCGTAATTCGGATTGAGTAAGAGCGAAATCCTTTGTAATTTGGATTGAGAGAGTAATTTGGATAGAAATTAGGAGATCCTTTGTAATTTGGACAGAAAATAGAGAGAAATTTGGATTGAAATAAAGAGATCCTTTGTAATTTGGATAAAAATGGAAAGATCCTTTGTAATTTGGACCGAAAATAGAGAAATCATTTGTAATTTGGATTAATTTTTAAATAGATACAAGCAAAATTGATGGGTGAGCAAAATTCTTTAAGCAGTAAGTTAAAAATTTTTCCAAAGTTTTTTATAGTTTTGATTAATTATCGTCTAGTCCGATAATTTTCTCAAATGTTAAGCGTAAAAAATGTTATATTCAAATAGTTTAAATGTTGTAATGTTAGTAAAAGGGAAATAATTTTCATAAATATTAGTAATTTTGTTACTAATTTGCTAAAATCGTTCTTTTTTTTAAATTTGATTGATTATCGTAGGACTCGATAATCTTCTCAAATTATTGTTTCTTTTTTTTAATACGTGATTATTAATTATTTCTTGATTTAATTTAAAATCAAAGAAATTTTTCTTTATCAATTGCCGCAAATTTTCGTAAAATTTAAATTTTATTTAATACTACTTTAAAGCAAGCGATTGCTAATAATTTTTTGATTTAAAATGATTTTATTTAGATTTTTTACTATTTTTAGTTTTAATCACTGTGCAGTTTGATTTTAAAGCAAGAGATTGCTAAACTAAATTTAAAAATAAAAATAATTTGTTTTTGCCAATAAAATGTTCCACTGAAACCACTGTATCGAATTTTCCATTTATTAACAAGCGTCACTGTAACCTTTATTCACAGTGGAATAACGAGAGCAAAAAAAAATTTTTTTATCGAAAATTTATTTTATTAAATTTTTATTTTATTTTTAGAACTGTGATTATTTTTTATTTTAAATTTGTCGCCAATTGCCAAGTGAAAATTTTAATTAAGCGAAAATTTGCATTCCAAAAAAAAAAAAAAAAAAAATCAAAAATTTATTTTTAATTCGATTTAATTTCTATAAGCAAAATTTTTCCGTTTATCACAAATTGCAAGCACCCAAAAAATGATTTATATGAAGAAGTGCAAAAATTATTATCTTTTAATATTATCAGATTTTATTTATTTTTTTTAATTATCAGAAAAATTTTATTTATTTTGTTTCACTGTGACCACTGTGATCATTTATACATGCATAAAGAGAGAAATTGTCTCCTTGAAATAACAAATAAACCACACAAAATTTATTCTCAGAAACAACATTCAATTTTCCAATAATTATTTTCCTACAGCAATTATGCTCAGTGACATAAATTTTTAATAATTTTGATGTTCACTTGATGTAGATGCACAAAAAAAATATTTGTTGAATATTTATTATTATTTGATATTTTAGCAATATTTTTTACGTCGGGCCCATTGTGTGTTTTTTCTTTCAATTTATTGAGAACAATAAATAGAGTGGGAATATCACCGCTAACTGTAATGTATGTTTGTTATTGTTGCTTAATATTTATTGATAATCGATGGTGGTGGTTTTTTGTCACATTTACACTCTTTGATTTTTTGGTTTTGTTTCTTATTATTGCAATGTAATTTTTCACTCTTTATGCTTTTTGTATCACACAGTAAGTTTGTCGATATTGGAAATAAATCTGACGTCACAATTTTTTGGAACTTTTAACACTCTTTTCCAGAATTTATTAAATTTTTAATAGAAATTTCACTGGTAATTTTTTTTTAAGAGTAATAAGGGATATTTTCTTTTGAATTTGCAATTTTAAGAGAATAATTATTTTTTAGTGGTTGTTTATTGGCACAATTAAACAAATTTGAGAAATTTTTCTTTTCATTTATTTATTGGCAAAAATTTTAATTTATTAAGAGATTTTTCCCTTTTAAATTTATTGGTAAATTTTTTTTTTGGAATTTATTGGCAAAAATTTTTAATTTTTTTCGGAATTCTTTTTTCTTTCGAATTTATTGGCAAAAATTTGAATTTTAAAACATAATTTTTTTTTACACACACACACTTGCACAGATTTTTACGTTAGAATTTTTTCTTTTTTAAGAGTAAAATAAATTAAAATTTGGGTTTCTACTCAAATAGAATAAAAGAGGGAAATGCTTACAAACTAATAATTCATGTTATATAACTTCAAATAGATAATATAATGACATAATAATAATAATAACAATAATAGTAACAATATAATAATAATATAATAATAATAATAATAATAATAATAATAATAATAATAATAATAATACTAATAATAATAATAATAATAATAATATAATAGTCAATAATACATACATAATAATCATAATATAAATAATATACTACTATAATAATCATAATCCTAATCCTCCTAATAATACTAATAATAATACTAATATATCATATACTAATCCTACTCCTAATCATAATAATACTCCCCTCCTACTCCTCATCCTCCTCATATCCATAATCATTCATACTCCTCTAATACTCCTCCTCCTCCTTATCATCTCTCCTCATAATCCTCCGCCTCCTCCTCCTCAATCTACTCCTACTCCTCATCCTTCCTTCCTCATCCTCCTCCTCCTCCTCCTCATCCTCCTCCCCCTCCTCCTCCCTCCTCCTCCTCCTCCTCCTCCTCCTCCTATCCTCCTCCTCTCCTCCTCCCCCCCTCCTCCTCCTCCTGCTCCTCCTCCTCCCTCCTCATCCTCCTCTCCTCATCCTCCTCCTCCTCTCCTCCTCTCCTCCTCCTCCTCCCCGTCCCCTCCTCATCCTCCTCTCCTCCTCCTCCCCTCCTCCTCCTCCTCCTCCTCCTCCTCCTCCTCCTCCTCCTCCTCCTCCTCCTCCTCCTCCCTCTCCTCCTCCCTCCTCCTCCTCCTCCTCCTCCTCCTCCCCTCCTCCTCCTCCTCCTCCTAATAATAATAATAAAAATAATACCTAATAATAATAATAATAATATAAAAACAAGTAAGAATTATAGTCGGGCGAGGCCGACCATATAATACCCTACACCTGTTACCGAAATGAAATGTGATTTTGTTTTCATAATAAAGCACTTAAGCTGAATTGCACCTTGCCTTGAATTATACTTAAGCCATTTATTGTTTAATAAAATTGTGGACATTTAAGTCAAATTTTGAAGGGGGATTGTATAGGGGCTATGGTCAAATGAGACCCTATGATTATAAATTGAGAGTCATCAAGGCTAGTACAGAACTTGGTTTTGCAGCTTTTTGTCGAGATGCGAGTATATTAAACATAATTATAATTTAAAATCCCTATTTGCCGGGTTCAGTTGTATGGGGTCTAGGTGAAATAATGGACCGATGTTAACCATTTTCAGTAGGCTTCGTCTCCGGTACCATAGAAGATCATCTGCCAAGTTTCATTGAATTATCTTTAAAATTGCGACCTGTAGTTTGATTAAAAGGTTTACAAGCCCTATTCGGGGGTTCAGTTGTATGGGGGCTAGGTGAGAAAATGGACCGATATTAACCATTTTCAGTAGGCTTCGTCTCCGGTACTATAGAAGATCATCTGCCAAATTTCATTGAATTATCTTCAAAATTGCGACCTGTAGTTTGATTACAAGGTTTACAAGCCCTATTCGGGGGTTCATTTGTATGGGGGTTAGGTGAAATAATGGACCGATATTAACCATTTTCAATAGGCTTCGTTCCTGGGACAATAGAAGATCATGTGCCAAATTTCATTGGATTATTTTCAAAATTGCGACCTGTAGTTTGATTACAAGGTTTACATGGACGGACGGACGGACGGACGGACGGACAGACGGACGGACATAGCTATATCGACTCAGAAAATGATTCTAAGCCGATTGGTATACTTTAAGGTGGGTATAGGACCAATATTATTGTGCGTTACAAACATCAGCACAAATCCAATATACCCTCTCCACTAAAGTGGTGTAGGGTATAAAAATTCAACTACAATAAATTCAATATAATTCCATTCTTAATGCTAATTTGGACACTTCCTATCATATTTCATGCGGAAAGTGTCGGGAACTGAAATTCGATGTTTTATGTGAACCAAAAGCGGTCGAAATAAATGAGAGATGAACTAATACTATAAATATTACTTTTTTCATTAAATATTGAAAATATCGTGAAAATAGGGGGACTTTTGTATCGAAAATCGTTACAAACAAAATCGTCAAAATGACGTAAAATCGTCACATTAAACACCCCTGCAGATCATATTACTTGTGTGCTCGTCTGAAGGGGGCTTTTATGGAAATATTTGCAATCAATTTATTGTATTTATTATATCTATCACCTTGAAATGCTCCTATTAAAAAGATTGTTTTTATATTTTTTAGGAATTATGAAGATGTAATTCGGCAAAAGGAGAAACCAGTTTTTGATTCAACTCATATTCAAAGATTTTCGCCAGCAACTAGTCCTTCTAACTGTACAGCTAGTGAATTAAAAAAATGTGGAAGAATTCGTATAAAAAGCAATAAGAAAGTAAATGTATGTTGGACTTTAGATAATATATGCAAAGCAGCCCAGCTTCTAAAAAAACCACCCGAAAATGTAATTTTTACGAATGAACACGACATGAGAAAGGTCTATTCTTTAGTATACGATGTTTTTAGATGTAAGTAAAATTTCCAGCTGAAATGAACGTTTGATTGGTTCTAAGATTGACACCAAGGATAATTATATTTATTAGTTACACCGTGCAGCAGTCATTTTTACACATGAAAAAATCTATACATATGTACAAGAAACTGTGGACCATTAGTATTAACCCTGTGTATTCAGTTTTTCATAATCAGCTCTTATGCCCATGTAAAAGGACCTTAAAGTTTAAAGGATATACGATTTCAAAAGATGGAATTCCAAATTTATATAAAAAATTTGGTATTAATATCAAATGAAGCTGAGAATTTCTGCTTCAAAATAATGTTATTTATTTAAATACATCAGGATTAAAAAAGAAATGGAAGTTTAAAGAAAATTTGTTCCAAAAAAATAGTTAAACATTTTTGTTTTCAAAATGAGACCATTTTTAAATTTAATTTATTTTTCGATTTTTTGTCTAAATGAGTTCAATAAATAATATAGATAGTATCTCCAGATTCCCAGCTTTCATTTAATACTAATATTAGTACATATAAATATTTAAAATATTCGTTTGAAATTATAAGTCCTTTAAACTTTATAATGATATAAGAGCTGATTATAAAAATCGGAGTATGCAGAATTGCTCTAAATTGACTCCAGTTTTACATGCATATCAACTTTTCTATGTGTGAAAGCTTTTTCAAAATTGTTACATGGTGTTATAAGGTAGTGTTTAGAGAACTGCTGATTGTTTTATGATAATAAATTTATTAGGTTTAAAATTCTTCTTTGAGCCAAATTAATTTTGAAATTACGATCTATTTTATTTTGGTATGAAGAAAGTGAAAAATTTCAAAATCAATAGATGGCACATTAATGACTTACTTTCAACTATGCCAAATCTGTTCTTTGAAAGTTTTTCAAGAAAATACTTCACAGCGTTGTCAACTTTTAAATTTCAAAATGCATCAAATTGAAGAAAAGCTCGTATTTCTCGGAAAAAAGCACTAAGAAAAATATTTCCAATTTTCAAAGAAACAAATTTTATATACATACTATAAAAAATTCTAATTTGTTCTAAATTCTGTAGATATATGGTGAAAAGGTTAGTAAAACGGTATTGATGGCAGTAAAAAGGAAAATTAATAGGTCAAATATACTATGTTCGGGAGGAAAAAGAGTCACCCATAAAAATCTAACAAATATTGATGAAAATTATTCAGTAAATATATTTTAATAAATTTTAATATCCTTACAACTTTAAAGTCCTTTAAAAAGTAAAAAATCACGAAATGAAAAACTGAAAACGCAGTTTCACTTTAAATGACCTCTAGTATCATGTGAATATGGTCTCGTTCAAATCCCATACAAAAATGTAAAATTGTATCACGGTGTAATTTTTAATTATTATTAAAAGTATCCGAATACCGAATATTTTGCGACACTATTGCACATTTTCTTATTTTTATTGCAATTTTTGTTAAATATTTGCAAATATTGATTAATTTCTATGATAATTGGCTTATTTTAACGCCGACGTATATATTTTGCATTTACATAATTAATTACTTTATGGGATTATATTTAACCAAGAAACTATGAAAAAGGCATATCTAATGATATAGGCTATCATTTGGATGACAGACTGGCATTTCCAATTTGACTAAAAGTAGTGCAGGCTAATTGGAATATTGTCAAATATTCATCTATTAATCCAATAATTCCTAGATTTGATTTTTTTCCCAAAATATTATCGTTTAAAATTTTCCTGGGATTTTATTTACAAATTTGAAAAGGTTAAAATTTGAATTTTTAGATTTTATTTCTAAAGAAAACGTAATTAGTATTCGCTATCAACCTTCGGGCCAAATTTAAACAAAAACCTTAATTTTTTTAAATAAAAATATATTTTGTTATTTATAATGAAAACCCGGTTAACCGGTAAAACAAATTAGTCGTTATTCATTGTTTTCATGAAGCATAAAATGTAAAAATAATATTTTTGGCCTTTAGCTAAATAAAATTTGGTCGGGCACTTGTTAAACGCAATCAAAGCCGAACAATTTATCTTCTTCAGTATGGAATGGAAAACATATGTTATGCAGACCGAGATTTTGGCGATATTTTGCAAAGCGGTTATTTTTTGCAATGTCCTGTATATGGTATTGCATTTTCTCCATTGATTAACTGCCGTGTTTGTTTCTGTTTTTACCCAAAAACTGTCAGTAAAGCCAATAAATGTTTTGAATTTCCAAAATTGATTGATGCATACAGAGTTGCATAATATGGATACGATGATTAATGTCACACAGACAGTTCTCCTGTAAAAGCAGATTTCGATCGATATCGATCCAATGCTGATGTTAAGTTGTGGATTTTATCAGTCTTTGTTTAGGGTTAAAATTACCTTCACAAGAGTAGAACTCAGCATTTATTTTTACTTCTGTATGTGTAAAGGATGTCAAGGAGTAACTTTCTAGACTTTTTCATTCGTAATATTTTTGAACTTACCCATGTTTTCCGCTTTCAGCATCATAGTGGCTACCACAAAATCTCATTAATGGTATCGTAATTTTTTAATATCATCTTGTGAGAGTGGTCTATGAAATCATTGTCAACATGTCCCATTTAGAACATATTGCATTTAATTTATTTTTTAAACGAAGAGGGCACATTTCTTAGAAATATTTTTATTGATTTTATCTAGTTTAGTTAATATAATATACACTTCTTGAAAGTAATTTGATGAAATTTGGACTATACGTTTGTTTTGTTGAAATCGGTCCATTATTTCACCTAGCCCCATACAACTGAACCCCCGAAAAGGGCTTTTGAGCTCATAATTATATATAACATAAATGTATCTTGATGAAGGTTCGCACAACTAAGTTTTTTACAAGCCTTGACGACCCTGCCGAATTTCGAAATGATCGGACTTCATTTGACCCTAGGCCCCATACAAAGCCCCCTTCAGAATGTGACATTTATTAACACTGTCATTGCAATTAAATTTAGCACAGACAAAAATTATATAAATACAAATCTATCCAGCCCATTTTATCGGGATCGGTCCACATTTGCCTCTTTTAGAAAATAAGTTTTTCTTCAATAAATTGCTTAGATAAATCGGAATCAGAATTAGGTCGAAAACCTTTGTTGTTAGTACCTTTTGTTTTTTTATATACATACATAATAAATTATGTTCATAAACTTTGTAAATAAATAAATAAATCGGAATCAAGGTAATATTCATGATAAATGCTTTATTATTAAAACAAAATCACATTTAACATTCATAACTGGTGTAGGGTATCATATGATCGGGCACGCCCGACTTTACTTTCTTAATTGTTTTCAGTTAAATTTAACTAAAATTTTTAAGTTAAATTTGTTAGGTAATATATAACTGAATTTGGTGAAAAAGAAAATGTGCTAACTGATAGTTAAAGTATTAGTTAAATTATAACCGAACTTGGTGAAAATGGGGGTAAATCTAAAGAAATGCTATAATTGAGACAAAACATTTACTGCTTAAGCAATTTATATAAAAAAATATATTTTGAAATATTTATGTTAAAAATATAATGCTTCCAGTTTTAAAAGTGATTGTCTGCATTTGTTTAAAATATTTGACACATGTGAAACTGATAAACATTAATTAATTAGGATCTTTATGTCTTAGATTTAGGTTCGATTTTATTGCCCATATTTAACCCGATTCCCCATATACTTATAGCTTCTTTAAGAAAATCAGTTTTTCAACAACTTTGTATTAAGGAAAAGATCAATAACAGTCAATTGTTAACGGATTTTTGCGTTCTATCAAGAACAGATATAGTTTTCTAATACATTAATTAATTGTACAATTCTTATATAAAATAGTTTTTAAAAACATTCGCAAACTTGGAAAACGGTGCAAAAATATGTTAGCTGAAATATGTGTGCGCATTCGTATTCCCATCGTATATATCTTTATAAAGCCCTAAGCTTCTACTTTCTAAATCCGAGAGATTCAAATAAGTTTCTGACTTATAAGTTAATATACGAAAACACGTTTTTACCTATATCTTAAGATTTTAAAGGTTTTGGGCAGACAGTGGTGATACTTTCACTTATTCTTCCACTTAGATTTCACATAAAAGTGACCTAGGCTGCCTCATCTATGTGCTCTCGCTTAGGATGTAAGCCACAATATCATTAGTGCAAAGTAAAATTTCACTTACATAATGTGTGGAGTTCAATTTTAATGAAAATAAATAAAATAAATTTTAATTTTCTTATGAATTTTTCGGCCATTTTCCTTTACAGCTTTTGTACACAAACAAGAGGAAATTGTCAGTTATAAAACTAGAATGTATTTAGTGAATTTACTTAATTTTCAAATCCGTTCTTGCCATTTAGATCTCCGTAATTATTTTAAATTTTTATAATATAACTTTTTTATAAATAACTTTTTTAACAAAACACAACTTCACTTATAAAAGATCAACTTTAAACATGTATATGTATAAAAGAAAAAACGGTGAATAAAAGCAGACCTTTTGGAGTTTAACTACTTTTATTAATAATTTATTTATCTGCTCGCTATTTGCAGATGAGAGACATTAAAGATTTGTTCAACTTTGTTTATCTAGAAAAGAGTTGAGGTCAATTATAATTGCTCCAATGCAATTATAATTAGGAGTATTAAATAGAGAAAATAAAAAAGGGAATACAAATTCAATCAGTAAAAGGAATTCAGTTTTTATTTAGATACAAATTTTGGGTTGAGATAAGTATTTTCAAGCTCACCGTTTGATGGTTACAAAAGAATAGAATTTAAAAATCATTTTGTTATTCACAGCTAACAGCCTAAATTCTATTGACATAAAATGACTTTTTGTAGTAAAGGTTATTTTGACAAATTATAAAAAGAACGAGTACTAAAATGTTTACACTAAAGCTAAGTACAATTATAATTCAAATAAATAACCTTAAATAAATACAATGGTTTCAAGAGAGATAAATGTTTAAATTCAATATTTAATATAA